GGAGTCTCGTCAATACTGGTTCACATTAAATAAAAGCGATCTCAATCAACCCATTGTTCTACAGTTAGCACTTGCGTGTGCATCCACATCCAGAAACAAATCGCCTAAAAGTAAAGGCCAGTATGGGATCAGTTAATAATTAAATAAAATTGAACTGGAAGGTAAGATGACTTGGTGCTAATACAGGATTGACTCACCCTAGCTTCCGATAAGCATGTCCCATATTGTTGACCAATGGTTCCCAGAACGACGATGGTACTTGTCCGCCCAATTCACAGGCCCGGTCATAGGCCTGGCATAACAGATGTATAGCCATTGAATATCTGCAATAAAGAAGCGGACACATGGGAGGGTGAAAACGGAAAACACAATAAACCTCATTCTGAACAGTGTATTGGCGTGAGAGCAAGAAAGGCCCGCACAATAAAGAAAAAATTGTAGCTGAATGAGAAAAAAAATGAATCCATCTGGCATTTCTGAGATTTACGGTCCACTATAAAGTGTCTTGATTGCAAGATTTATGACGAACACGAGTTTCAGAGAGAACTTCCGAAATAATAAACTGTAAACGGCTCCGATAAACTACGTGAATAGCTCAGAACGATGTCAAAGGAGTGCATATTGACAGTCCCGTCGGGGATTTGAACTCCGGACCGATCGTATAGAAGGCGTGTGCGTTACCACTGTACCAACCAGCTCATACCATGGTTGAACCAAATTACCAATTCATGTTTGTTCAGGTGTCGTCTTCAGGGATAGTTAGTTCATTTGGCCCAACAGAAACGAAGGGACACACAGGTGATATACTGTTAACTCCAATCGAAAGCCTCCCGCCAAGTCAGGACTTCCATGCAGGAACGGACTGGTTCGCCAACGAACAGCACCCGAACATACATGAATTAGTAATTTGGTTCAGCCGTGGTATGAGCTGGTTGGCATAGTGGTAACGCACACGCCTTCCATACGATAGGTCCGGAGTTCAAATCCCGGACGGGACGGTGGATATGCACTACTAATGAGCTCCGATAAGAGCGAAACTCGAGTCTAGAGCTTCCGGTTGTATGGTTGAGTCGATGAACTGAGGATTGTGCGTGAAGGTGAAGTCCGAAGGATAGTCAGCTCAAATCAATAAAAACCATTCATCCTACACCACTACTCACAAGTAATTGTGAGTCAAATGCTAGATGTCAAAGGATTTGTCTAAATAAAATCGAATGGTTTACTTGTCAATACTGAGGATGGTCTATAGGGCTTTACAGGTCAAGTGCAAATAAACTATCCACTTCACTAACTTCACTACAATATGGTAGAAATGTTGGGGCTATTCCCGTGGATGCTTCAGAATGCTGCTTGCAGATTTCCCGAATTGTTGATTGAACTACACCCCTCTACGGTGGCTGACAGTATAAATCGAAAAAAGCGATGTCTGAACGGGTGAAATTGAGCATCTTTATCAGTGGTGTTTGTCGAGTGGTACGGGTAGGGCGCCCGTCGTCTCATAGTTCGTGTTTGAACTCCGCGATCACCAGCCTACTTTCCCATTTTTCCACCGCAGCCTTTTCTCGTTAACAGTCACGTTCTTGAATATTGGTAGTCCACAGATGCGGGAGTGATGAGATTTTGTTTAAGTTACAGTAGTTTGATTTTCTATTGTCCATGCAATTGCACATTGCAATCCATTTTAACAGGAAACAAGCGCTTAATTAATATATTAGTTAAAAATATATATTCCAACTGAATACCGCTAAAATTGAGGTCAACGAAATGATTAAAACACGGATAATCGCTCGAGCTTGTCCGCTTAGAAATTGAATAGAATTCACGTGAAGTCGGTATAGGATCCAAATGTGACTATGTACTAATAATAAGCTATTAGTTTTATGGATGGTTAGCAGGATTTATGGCAAGTAATCACTTCCGGGAGAGTTGGACATGAAAGAACGTTTAGTTACTGGGAAGGAACACAGATCACCAAGTGCGAGATGCACTTGTAAACGTAGTTATGATACGCAACGTTATATGTTTGATCCGGACAAATAATGAATGACAGACGTCAAGCGCTCATTTATCCACAGCGATTAAAAATATTCATTTCGAGCAACGAACTGGGTCGTAGATCGAGGATCACGTGTTTGTGACGGGCAGCAGTTGGAGGAGGACGACGGGTAACAGGTGAAAGTTCCAAGGCGGGTGATTGCACATCAAAGCAGGACACAGTTCTGTGGGAATCTGGTTCACATGTGCATCTTCGCACCCGAATAAACATACCACGTGACAAAAAATGGGCAGCTAATTACAGCTGACAATGCGATGATGGGTTGGAGACCCACTATCGGAATTAAACGAAATGTGAACAACATAGCAATTGAAGCGTACAGTTTTTTATCGTCTATCGTGCTGAGAATTATCGTTCATAGTTATTCATTGGCATCGCCTTCGTGAGGCGAACTTCACTCACTGCTGCAAATCTCACGATGTATGTAAAGTAATAATGTGTAAGGTGGTTAGGGAGGGGTCTGTTTTGCAGGATGAACAAAAAACGAAGCTCGGGGATCACCATAGAATATACACGTTTTCAAAGCATTCTGACCCGATAATAAAAGACAAAAAGAACACCACTACTGTCAGTTCATTCATTCTCTGCCAACAACCAATTAGAGACTCATTCGGACCCCAACGTGCAATAATAGGAGACACCTAATCTACGTAATCACTTTGTGCATTTATTCATATCTCGTATCGACGTCATCCATTGAAGTCTTAGTGATTTCCTCCAACCTGGAACAGTTGCAGCAAATAAGGTGCAATGAGGCAGAAGGCAGCTGTGCATTCGTAATACATGCTTTAACCAGGAGAGCCTAATGATTTGAATTTAATGTTTTAACGAATTCTCCACTAAATCCTACCCAACTAAACGACGGTTTACCAGTGTTGATGACACACTCGCTACGCCAAACTACGTTAACATTGACAGTCGGAGACTCTTAGACGACGAATGTCTTCCACGAACAAACTTCCGGTTTCGTAACCGTAAAGCAGAACTGATCGCACAGTAACACATTATAAGCGATCTTTCAACAGCAACGAAAAAACGTCGGCGGCAAAGGTGTTTCAGTCTTGTATAAGATACCCGAGCCTCTCTTTAGGTCAAGGAACACTGCCATAACCTGAGGATATATATATATAGTCTCTTCTTTTATCTGCGCCATATCACGATCTAACCGCCGCGGCACTTATTCCAGCCTTGTCCAGCACGTACAAACAGAGCACGGAAAGGTAGTCGATGGCATACGCAGAACGTGATCGATCGATCGGAGGCAGTGTAGAGCGATTACTTCTATTACTCCTTTTTTAAATTTACTCCCATCCTCAAAGCGAAAGGGCCAGGTCTAGCAACCATAAGGCAGAACACTACAAACCGCGACGAGACAATCGGATGTCATGGCGGTGCCACAGGTTTCGAAAGTTGGTAAAGGCTGCTCTGGCTTTCACCATTCATGACGTGATCTCCTCCCCAACATCAGCTCCAGCAGTGCTCATGCCTCCGAGGTACTGATCACCACCGAGATCGATTACAGGCACGGACTCCTGCTAGTCTCGAACAAGCACCCTGAATCGTAAAGTCTCATTGCCCATAAACGACCATTGAAGGGAATCCAATCGCTCAGTGAGGTATCATCTGCGTCCTTTAGTACGTTACTTGCTCCGTGCTGATGTAATGAGTGGGCATCACCTGCTATTGATGGGCCAAGGAAATACCTTAGGAACAAATTCGATGCACTTAAGTGGTTCATATTGAATTAGTATATCATATATGCAGCAAAAATAGATCGCTAAGAAGTTTGTTCTATGCGCAGGATAATTTGTTTGTGTCCTGATGTTGAAATCTCCCGAATTCCGAGAGGCTTCAGAATCCGCTGCTTATAAAATGGTACACAGCTTACAAAGCTCTTTGGTAACAGCTTTTGGCCAGTGATCAAAGGGTTGCCTTAGGGGACGTTACACATTGGAAAGCGGGGCAAAGAAGGGGAGTTTTGGATGGAAGACGAGGGATTAAGGGGGGACTTCTGAAAAGCAGTGGGTGTGGCGAAGCGGAGGCCAATTTCCTTCGGTCAATTATTCCCCCATCACTTTTACCGACTGAGACGTCGATTCGAGTCAAACCCCCAAAACTGGAGAACCAAAAGGCTGGAATTTATGTGATCTCTAACTCTTGACTTATCAGAAATAACTAGATACTAAGCTTAACAAAAAACATATTCCGTAGCCCCCATAGGTCACAGCAACACACACACCATTGCATTACGTCAAGGTGCATTTTCTTTGTGATGGAATTATTACTGACAGACAGAAAGTTCCGTCTCCAGCATGACTATTTTGTGGACTGAGTCATGTAAGCCGTGTGAAGTTTCCCGGTTCGAGAGTCCAAGACCAGCTTAATCACTGACCACTGAGAAATATGGCCGAGTTTTGTAAAAATGACAGTAAAATTACTCATACCGGATAGGTAGGTAAGTTGTTTCGACCCCCGAGGGTCTCATTCACAGCCCGATGACCTGGTAGTCTGAGGACCGTGTAACCGCTTACTTTTTCTTATATGCCATTGAGACTAGTCGCATGCTTGAGTGCATTTAACCATGTCTTGCAAAACCTCCCTATTGAACACGTGTATATGCCTACTGGGGTTCAAGTCACACACGCTTGTTTATCAGCCCCATTTCGATAGCCTCCCCGACCTGAATGCGAGGACCGGGCGGTTTTTTTCATTTTACTATATGTGACACCACCAGATACACTTCATTAGTGGGCCATATTTTCAGAGGCATCGGTTAGCTAAAAGAACGTCAAGAGTGATCAGAATAAGGCCAGACATGAGGGTGTAAGGGCGAAGATTGTGGCTTTTAGTCGCATACGTCGAACCTGATCAACACTGTTTTATTACAGCAAACAGTGAAGCTGGTGCTTCTATTCACACTCTAAACAGATTGACTTTACTTGCCTAACACATGTGCACTTGGTTTGAAGCTCTTCGATCTACTGTTTCTTCAGTCGACCAAACGAGTGTTCGAAAGGCAGTAACCAAGACAGTCGTACAACTGCGCAAAGTTAATGGTGGTGTAAACGGCAACTGCGCTACAAACGGAAACGAATGACGATAACCGTTAAACGTGTTAGCGATGGTTGTGTTTCCTTATTTAGTCAACCAACAGCGAATTAGAATGGATGTGATTTCAATTCACTTCATTCACAAACCACCGGACAGTGAGAACGTAACCACATAAATGGTATTCAATTACTTCCGTGTGATTGCTAATT